ACTGGGAAGGATAGAGCCACTTTCCCTCATAAAATTCATGAGCACTGCAACATTCAGCAGCTGGCTAACTTCCTTCAATGGCCAGTTCAACTCTACGCTGACTAGTGAGCGCCTTCATTTAAAAAAACAAAAAAACAACCATATTCACTGAGAAGAGAGTTAAGTAGACCCACCGATTAGCTAAAACCAGGAGGTGCATTTCTACATGACAAAAAAAGGTTAAAGGAAATATGGTTACATTCATCCAGAAAATGTGAGCATATTTCAAAGATAGAAAACAGTCTGTGAACTAAAAAGCAATAAAACAACATCAGACCGTGTGTCTTCAAAAACACCCGCGTCTCACTTTACTTGGAATAGAAAAAACAAGCTTTAAGGTGTTCACCTTCTGTGATTAATGACACTAGTCAGTGTGAAACATTAAGATATTGTTATGGTGACAAAACAGGCCACACTGAATAATGTTGTGTCACACCTCTAATTTGGGCATCCTTTCATGGAGCACAGCATTTCTCTGGTGAGACTTCCGAGAATTTCTGCATGTTGTATCTGTGATCACATAGTTGGTACCACATGTCTGCACTAATGTGCAGCTGAGCTTGAGGGCAGGTCTTTGATAGTTCAGTTGATTTTATGGAGTAAAAGTTTTTTATCGAGGCTTGAAGTGGGTCAATGAGCTGCATTATCATTAACAGTAATGTTTTAAGCGAAAAACATACATTTCAAACGTGACGCAATCAACCAAAGTCTAATCTATTTAAACAGCATCAGACTTACTGAATGATGGCCTAAATTTAAAAATTAAAAACTAAATAATTTTTTTTAAAGACTGCAGCCGTTGCAAAGGAAGACAAAACCATTAAGAAATGTGTAACTAAAGGGAACAATCGTTTGTATAAGGTTTTCATCTTGGATAGTTCTGTGTTATCAAAATGACTCACCAAAACTATATAACAAATATCGCTAAAATGATCAGACAGACTGAGAAACGCATACACGTTCTTCCTCCTGCTGGCTGGCTGGCTGGCTGGGACAACCCCCCCCTCCAACCACATCCACCACCACCTCCTGGACACTGAGCAATGACTGTGGGAAAGTTATTTTTAGGACCAATGCAGAGAGCCTTCCTGAGTTTGATGCTCCTGCTCCGGATCAACATTCCACCTTTGAACCGTCCCGGCTATAGAGCGGTTTGTGCATAGGACGGCAAATTTAACGTTGTGTTTAACTTTCTGTGTGGACCAACAGCAGTGCAGACATCGTTTCAGTCAAAAATGTGAATGACTGCTGCCACAACACTGCTCATCGATCAGGGCAATTTGGAATAAGGCATCACATCAAGTCCAGAATAAATGTGTTTTTTAAGACTGTCAAAAACATTTTTATGGAAAAATATTTCATACACTGGAATGGAATTGATTTTAACCAAGGGGTTACCTATTCAGTGCCAGCTCACTTATTTTCCACATGGTGGAAAAAGGGTCAACTAAACAACTGCTTTGTCAGAATTCTTTATTTTTTAATGGAAGTATATTGTCAGTAGACACTATCCTGATTAAAACAACTTTAGCTTTACATTCAAAGTAAGTATTTCCCGTTTTAATATTAAAGCTATGAATAAAAGGGATGAGGCAAGATTATTTTATTTTGATTAACATGGCAAATCTCTGTTGTCCTTTGTACAAAATAAATATCAGAAGCCTCTGAGTATTTCACATGCAGAATCCATGTAATCACCTTCAGTATATGCATTTCATACTAATCTGTAATAATTTACATTCATATATGCTGTTTGTACCCTGCCTGCCCTGTGAGCAGTCAGAATTCCTCTGACTTTTCGGGGTCATCAGCATTCTTAGCAGGGGATTAGGCTTTTTGTGGCAAAAGGCAACTAAAGCGTTGGATAATGGTGAATATTCATTATCCAATCCATGTTTTGACAAATGGCTTAGTCTCCACCCTATTAAATTACTGTCACAGAGCATCCTGTGACTGGTGGTTTGATCTTCTCCTTGGAAACATACTGACAAGGCGTCATTCCGCAGATATCAGAATTTAATTCTCGACATGGAATATCCAGTGCCATTTCTCCTCGTAAAAGTTGTGTTAATTTCAGACGTTACATCTTTCCCCTTCAGATTTCCACCCCTTTTCTCCTCTTCCTACGATGTGAATGCTTGCAACACTGGACTATGTCTGTTCAGTCACTTGTGACAGTTTGGAAAGAGGTAATCATGTCAGCTCGTGGCGTTCATCTGAGCCATTGCAGTCGTGCACCGATGACGAATGCCTGAAGAAAAACGTGTACTCAATGAGCACTGGTCTAACATTTAGTGGGCTCCCTGTACTGATTCCAAAGCTTTGAATTAGCAACTCTGTGTCTGTACAATTAGCACCCATGACTAACTATTAGATAAAGACAGTTAAGATCAATGAAAACAGCAACCAACCCTGTCTGATTACAACAACTTAAAGGTTTTGCATATCATTTACAGTGAATGCACTTTTTGTAGTTTTTAAGACTAGCACAGAAAGTGAATGAACCTAAGGCTAAATTCAGATGCTTAAACAAAAAAAATACACAAAATAGTAGATAACAAAATGAACAAACAATAGATACAGTGGAGACCCAGTTTAAAAGTACCAGGGGGCTTATGGTTCCCCAGTCACAACTGTTATGCTAATAAAGGCCTTATCTGAGCATACATACACAAACCCTTTAGTGCCATAGGACCCCTCGGATGTAGGGTGGCATGTATGTTATACCCTCTTTCACTTCATCTAATGGAAACTGAAGACAACTAGTGCTACTTTAATCAGGTCTGAGTCCAATGTGGCCAGTCTGGTCTGATGGGGGCTGAGTGGTGCATGGACCATATTAAGGGTTCACTGCTCACTGATGAAGCAGCTTCACTTCCAGCGAGCGCTCAGGCAGACCACATTCTTACTCAGTCTGGCAGGAGGAGCACATATGCCCTGTTTTATTTTGCTTTAATACTGCTTGTTTGAAGGAAACGTTTCGGCATTTTGTTGATCTAGTATGGAGGGCAGCACATTTAGCTGTCTCAAATGTTCTCTGACTGAGCTTTGACTTGGCTACAGCAAACCCAACCGCCGCTGTTTTTTCTTCCCAAGGCACTGGACTAAAAGAAAAACAGAGGCTCATTTGGATAGTTTTAGCCAAGATATTTGGCTTCATATTCAAACCGCTTTGACCCTGCAGGGGGTGACTTTTGTACTTCTACTCATATCCATCCATTGATTAATTAGTGAAGTGGAATGGGGTTTGGCTTTTAAAGAGCAGCATTCATAGAGATCAATATGTGAGAATAAAAAAATCATGCGCATTTGTAGGAAACCTGAATCAGTTCAGGACTTTGCAAGGAAAGCAACACACAGTGCAACCCCTCACACATCTGATAGTCAACACACTGAACCTCGGCGCTTGGTCCTAAGAAACATACGTGCGGTTTTGCAGAGTAGATAAAATCCAGTTTAAATAATGGATGGAAATCTGATGTATGTTGTGAATATTGTTAGGCTGAGGGGTCTGATCGCGTGCCACTGACTAGCCTGCACTGGGTTCTCTCTCTTTTTCATACACGCTCCGACCATAAGCGCACCTCATTCCCAAGTGTGACGAAGGCTGATGTGAACCAAGGGAGGAAGTATAAATTATTCAATTAGAATATTATTCCAAAGGTCGCTTCCCATCTGATCATGATTCCCTTGGCATAAGTCTGGATCAAAGTCAAATGCATGAGGAACTAAGGCCATTTGAACGCTACCAATAGGTTTCGGACGTCCGGTGTGCCCATTATTTGAAATTTTTTTCCCCCTTTGCCTGTGAACTGTTGAGGTGATCTGCTATTGGAAGTAAAGTTTGGATGACTAAGCCCATTTTTCTCTGTTAATTCATCTCAGCACTGGCTATTCCCTGATGTTTAGTACCAAGCATTACTGGACACACTGGGAAGCAGAAACATGAGCAGGCATGTAGAGCAAACAAACATATAAACAAATGCATCAAAAGGAACCCTTAGGAGTCAGACTCTGTCTAACTTGTTCTGCATTCTCTTCCTTTCCCTCCCTTTTAATTTCTCTCTCAATAAGACGGTTTGGTGCCTCTGAGGAAAAGCCCTCATTTTAATTAGACCTGACCTGAGAATCACTTAACCGCTACTCTCCGCTTATGCCTTCCCCCTCCTCTCTAAGCCTTCGCTCTGTTCCTCACATAGGTCCATTAACACCCTTCCCATGGCACCCAAAGGCTTCAACAGGGGGCAGACACACGCGTTGTCTTAAAGACGTTTTGAGGACATGCCAAGAAACATTAACCTACTCTATATACCTCCCTCGGACTCTTTCAGTTTAGCTAGCTATTCCCCTTAAGTCTTCTACTCGGCACCATCATCATGTTCATCTCCTTTCCTGCTCTCTCTTTGCTTCTGTAGCTCCATTAACAAAATGACTCAGCTAGCTGAACTTTTTGCCAGAAATGATGGATGGGTCTCAACTAACTGAGGGCCTCCTAATTGTGCTAACTATTCTAGTTTTGAACGGACATCTCTGTTATGTTATCGTTTCTTTTCTTTTACATTTATATGCAAGTCCTCAGAGTAGGAAGTCCTGCAATCAAACTGTCCAGGGGTGGCGTTTTTTGATAGCCATTATGAGAAACCACTAAGTCCAAAGTTTAAGCAAATCCGAAAACTGGTTCAGCAAAACTGTATTGTTGCAAATATTTAAGACGTTTTCTCTCTCCTTGTGGTCATTATCTTGCCTTTGCAGTTAAAAAGTTGGCATATAGAATTCAAATGAAAGTAAAATAACTTATCTTAACGAGGCTGATTGGGCCACATTCAGACTAACCGGAGGATACCATCACATTTGTTTTCATGTGCTCTTGGCACTCCCATCCCCACTGCACCAAAAATGGGTCATATTCAAGTGAATGGTGTTTTGAAACTGTAACATGACATCACTCTGGTATTTTGGGTTTAAATTTTGGCATCGTCACATGACTTCTGCTCCTGACACTCATCAGCTGTTTCAGATTCCAACAACTGCCAACTTTGTCACACTAGAAATTTCCATTAAAAATAAAGAAATGGTACAAAACAGAAATTTCCATTTACAGACCACAGAAACACAGTGGCATGGCCTGTAAGTGTTACAAACACCTCCAAATAGGCTCTAACAGAATACTAATTTGACACAAATCCCAGTCTTACACTGTATTTGACCTGTCGACCTGCCTCTGGCACCCGAGTACCCCACAGGCACGTTGCCTGTCAGTTTAAAGGGTCAAGCAAAGGTAAAGACAATGTAATTGCATGCCGTAGCATTCTTCATAGATTCATCCTCAAAAAACTGATTGTGCAACTCGTGACAGAAGCCTGTGTGGCTCACTGTGATTGACTGAAAAAAAATCTCACACACATCGTTTGCTTGAGAGAGAGCATAAGATGTGCTTGCATGTCTAGATACATGTTTGCATGTGGTGCTGCATGAATGATGTGTCTATGAGTATGGGTTAATCTAGTCTAAACACCTAACACTCCCCTACCTGCTCAGACAGGGCCATGGGTTAATTCTGGCCTCAGGTGTTGTGCTAATAACCCGCATCAACCGCAGCTTGAACTCACAAAAAGTCAACTGTCACTGAGGTAACCTTAACAAGGAATCCCTTTTCTATTAATTATGGTTAATATTATATTATATATACTGTAGGGTGATAAAAGAATGACTGCAACAAGAGTTACGAAATTAGTTGCCAGAACAAATTCATGTATTGCTGTGGTTTCAAGCAAATGCTTGACTCAGCTGCTGAGAAGCCAGGGCTGTCAATCACCAATCATTCAACACCACCACACACAAATGAATCCAGATAGCTGACATACAGAAAGTGGCTTGAATCACTGATTTTCTTAGGATATGTGGAAGGAAACCAAACAGTGAAGGGAATGCTATCCCATGGGGCTCCAGGCAAAAGAGGCTCGCAGATTGAGCAAATGAGACGATGAGCAGGGATGGTGTGGGCTGTCACATGTCATACATTTGTCTTAACTCCAATCTGCATCACATATGTCAATCAACTGCCCACAAATGCTGTTGACCAGCGGGTCAAGTGCATTGATCCACGTTGCAAGAACTTTACAGTAGTTCGGCCTCAGATCCTACAATAAGGGATGGTTCTGCAACACGATAAAGTTTCAAAAAGAGAAAAAAGACAGGCAGCCAATCAAGTGGCTAACACTCATGGAGTAGAACTTAATAAGAGAATTACAATGACTAATTTGTGTTTGGCTGATTTGATGCATGACTGATGACATGATACAGTGTTCTGTGGGAAACTCCCTGACACACAAGAATGTGTCATAACAAAGGATTGTAACTAACATTTTAAATCAAGTGCTCTCTTGTGCCAACAATCGCAGCTACTTTGGAATTGAAAAAAAAAAACATATGTTGAAATCACTCTTTCTCTCTGAGAGCAGTTCCAGTGTAGAATTCCCATTCCACCAAATATCTCCTTAAACAATAAAAAACAGACAAATCTCAGTATTTCCAATCTGGTGCTGGGATACACGACATGGTGTCAAGGCTCATTGATACCAAAAACTATAGGCTATAGCTCCCCTGGTTTGTCAAATGCAGAGGACTAATTAAGAGGCCACTGAGCAAAGCCACACTGACTTTTACAGACCTTATAAATCTATTGCTGGAGTGGCTCATTCAGAGTTCTGGTGTCAGAGAAAAGAAGGGAGTGAGTCAATGTTGACAGGGAAAAAGGGTTGGAAGGATAGTGAAGGGAGGTAAAAGGGAGAAGGCGTTGACCATGGGATGCAGGGAAGTTTGGGGGTAGGGTGGGCATTCTTCTCTTCTCCTTCAAAACCTGCCTGAGACAATAGGACTCACTAAGAGCCAAGGACCATAGGGTGTGATAAGGTAATGATAATGTAATGAGGACCAATCATGAGGCTGAGCTAAGAGGAGGGCCTCTTAATTTGTCTCTAGAGTGGTAGTTCAGTGACAGATTGATTGCTTTTTGTGAGAGTGAGGATATGACAAATGCTAAATGAATGCAGCACTGACAAGAAAGTAAAAGAGGATGAGAAACCATACATCTGAACATAAATGAAAAATAGAGAGGTCACCGGAACACAAGTTTTGCACAGAAAGTAATTATCATAATAAATTAGGCACAACTGAACTGATAAAAAAACAAAATAATGATGTTATTCATATACATAATGATGTTATTGTCCATGGCGAAAGGTGAAGTTGATCTTTTTCCTCTCTGTGCGATGGGAATGAAAAGCAGACTGTGGGATAAAATAAGCATCACCTACTCTATATTGATAGCTTCTTCAAGAGCTTTGGTGGCTTAAAACGTTTGCTTGTGCATACCCGTTTTTCACAGTTGCCCCTTTTTAGTCATTCAAAAAGAAACAATTTGCTACATTCATACATGACAAATCCATGCATGAATATCATAGCTGCAGGCTGTTTACCAATATCTAAATATATAAAAATCTAAATGATGCATTTTTCTTGAACGGCCATCAATAGTTTTTCATGGCATATTTATGAATATGGATGGATTTTTCTCACTCTGTTGCCTCTTGACTTTACACTGTAGCAACTGTGGCAACAGCGGTGTCTAATCAATAGTTTCACCTTCAATTTTGCCACCCAATAGCAGACAAAAGTAAACACAGCTTGGAAGAGCTTTTCCTGTGGCATTTAAGTTAAAAGAAAGATTAATACTGATAATGTAGTTTTAGAGCTGATTATTTTGCCTCTAATCAAGTCTAGACTTAGGTTACTGACTAAATGACAAGGTGAAACAAAAAACAATTCTGAACCAGAAACCTCACTTTAAAGAGTATTCATTATATACCTACTTCACCCTTAGTTCTGTTAAGTCCGTTTGACAACATACCTCAATAGTAAATTGTTTTCTCTTGAGCTTAAACGCCAGGTCTTTGTGGTCGGGGAGTTGGCTTGCCAGACAGTTGAGTTGAGGTACTTGGTGTACATGTAGCAGACCTGTGAAAATCAGAAAGAGTGGATTAAATGTAAGAAAGTTCAACAAAAAGTTAAATGTAGAAATAAAAATTAATAAATATGGCATCATATTACTCTAGTTCTCCCTGAACGGAAGAGTCCCTTCTTATTGACAAAGAAATAAAAAGTACATGGAGCCATTTTTTACATTCTGTATACAAACTAAATGATAAACTGCTAAGAAACATTATTAATCAATAAAATATTGTACATTTAAAAAGCTTGAAAATCAACACAATATGCAAATATAATGAAGAAAAAGGAGGCATATTTTTATTTTTGGTTAACGTTGTATGTAATTTAATAAAACAGCTTGCTAAGGCTGCACTTGATAGCTGAATGTAAACAAAAAATGCAGACTAAAAACTTGTAGACTAATATAAAAATGACGTTAAAAATAATCAATAGCTATCTGTGAACACGTCTTTTTATGAATTCTTATTTTTTACTCCTGCCCTCTTCCATGTATGTTTAAGTATAAGAAATGTGCCAACTACTGCCATCACACACAAACTAATACTTTCTGTAACTTTCGGTCCAATGTTTGAGGAGGTTCTTTAAAATACTCTGTCCTCTTAATCACATTTTCATAAAACTGTATTTTTACTGTAGAGTTGTGGTATAAATAGGCCTGAAGAGAAAATGAAAGATGGAGGGAGTAATGGAGAAAGGAAGACAGACAGAGAAAGTGGGGGATGGTGGGTTCTCTCTGTGCACTTGGGTGATTTCCCCTTGCCTGATTTGCAGTGACAGGCTTCCCAGCATGCTTTGAGCAGCCCTGAACTGCTGCCGCAAACACGCACGCACGCGCAACTGCGTGCACTCTCACACTTGCACCAGATGCGTTTGCACTCATGAAAACACATCAAAACAATTGTACACGTAGATGCATTTCATGACCCTACCAGAATTTCTCTTGCTGGTTAAACGGGGCAGCGTTATAATTTTAAAACAGGACATTCAAAGAATAGTTACTGTAAATTCTAATAGCTTTTTTAATTCGAGAAAAATGAAAGGGTACAACTCCTCTATGAACTTAAACCCAACTACCTTAACAATGTCAAGGTAACAGCTAATAATAGGATGGGGATTTAGAATAATACATGTTAGGGGATGAAGCAAAAAATGAATGTTGCCAATCTCATCCCAACCATGTGTCACAACCAGGGTCTAACCGGAGGAGGGAAGAGATGGGGGAAGAGAGAGGAACAACGCAAAACTGAGTGGGAGAGTTTGAGAGGCACTGCTAAAAATATCCCACTTGCTTATTCTGACCTTTATGTGCGGAGAGTGATAGAAAAGAGAAAAGTGAGCAGGAGAAATGGAAATGATAAAACTGGGCAGAAAAAGTGATGGAGAGCGCAGAAAAAAAAAACTATGCTGCCCTCCCTTCTGTTGTCTTGGTTTCTCTCTCATCCGTCCCTTACCGGCATTCTCTCACTACTGAAAGCTTTGCCCTCCATTTATTAGCCGAGCATGCTGGCCATGGAGACATTGAGCGAGGGATGGAGAGATTGAGGCAGAGAGGAAGAGAGAGTGATGGTGAGAATATCGATTCCCCAGTGTTGGTCTGCTCTGCTCCAGAGCCTCAGGGGTATGGGACTCGGGATGGAGAGTGGGCGAGGCGAGAGGGAGAGAGGCTCTGCTGGAGGGGGGGAGGGAGGGATGGAGGGGATGAGGGTGCGAGGGAGAGGGGGTACAGCGTGGCAGCTGAATCCCCCCCGGCCTGTCTACTGAGGAGCACGTCTGATTGAGCAGCAGCAAACTAACACGCACTGACAGCCTGGCCTGCAAGGGGGCTGCCCTGCCTCCATCCACAGCCCAGCCCCAGCTTTAATGCACTGTCTCTGTGTGTGTGTGCATTTGATGGAAAAAGGACAGAAAGATAAGCAAGTGTGTGTTCTTACCATGGTAGTCTTTGTAGAGAGCGTTGGCCTCTCTTTCTGAACCTTTGAATGATTCCAACGCAATGGCATTGTCACACAGCCTGGTTATGCTGCCCATTAGAGCTCTGTCCTGTAAGATGGAGAGAAATGAAGACTGAAGGAAGGAGAACGCAAACGAGAGGACATGGGCTAATTAAAAACCTCCTGACGGGCCATCAGTGTTGCAATTAAATTAGGTCATCAGTGCCTGTGGCCAGGTCACCTCAGCCTATGGCTTTGGAGCGTGTGATGAGGTATAAAGAGGAAAACACTGATAGGAGGCGCACAGGTGATGTCAGGGCATACGGATGGACATATGCTTTTCATCAGTCATACATCCAGAAATGTGACATGGGGGATATTCAGGGAGCAACAAGCTGACTTAATTCAACTTCATCAAACACCACCTTTGACAAAAAGGCTAACGGCTGGTGCACAATCTCAAACCTGTGCACAGCCGAACAGGAGAGAGGTGGAGATGCAACATGGGCTCGATGAGGGGAGCTCCCCCTACTGGTGAGGTCAGTGACTTGACAAAGTGAGACAAATAAGTAGTGAGGACAGTCGATAATAAAGAATGAGGGAGTAATATACAAAAGGATGGAGGCAGTGGGTAGAGTGGGGGGAATGTAAGGGAAGGAGTGAGAGGGACATTGGGACAGAGGGAGAGGGAGAGTCCTGCATTATTAATCCCTTTTCCTCCTGAATCATTCACATCCTTCTTTCTGTGTTGGCTGCCATCGCCTAATGCAGTTTTCATGCATTCATGTCTTTCCACCCCTCTTTCTTCTTCCTTTTCATTTTTGTCCTACTTTTAAAGAATGCATATCCTGCCTGTCAGTACCACCACCACTCAGAATATCTTAGGTCAGCCTTGTGCAGTAATTAAAGCCATTGTAAGAGTTTGGATATGACAAATTATTCACAACATTAATGGCAAAGTGTGACCAAGGTGTCTGTGTGAGTGGTATTCCGACTAAAACATTATACTTGCTGTTTTGTGATGCCCATATAGTGAATATTTAAAAAAAGAGAACAGGCTCATTTGCAAAGAGTCAAAAGTTTTAAAGTCAATTAAATCCCAAGTGTCCACCGAAAGCTGCTTGGTATACAGGCAGCAGGGCAGAATGAGGTCAGGACTTCCTGAGGTGGTCATAGAAAGGCTCATCTTGACTGTGTTGCTGTTCTTATTTCTAATTTAAGGTAGGGTTAATCATGAGTTACTTTGATTAAGATAGCTCATTTCGCTCAGATTCCATCAAAATAAAAGCATGAAAACAACCTGAGCCTCACTTGATCAACACTGACTGACAGGTCACAGTGAGGGGGGCAGAGTTAGCCTTAATCTCTAATATCTTAGCCAGCAAATGCACATTCCAAATAAAATAGACAGAAGTGTTACAAGATAAGTATGAGGACAACAGTTAAGTATACTTGTGTATAATTACTATTGTCATTTTGCAGTGTTAGGCTTCAATGACTTTCCTCGTTGTGATTTACATTACTCTGTATGAAAATAACTTTGAATTAAGTCACAAATCTGAATATAGTTAAACTGAAAAAAGAAATCAGGCTACACTAATCTATTTCTCACAGAAGACCTGACAACCAGATCTTCTTGTTCTAAGCCTAAAAGTGAGTCTTAAGACTTCCAAAAGGCTTTATGTTTTGTCTTTTTAGCCTGCTGGTGCCGTTGGATCGCGTAAATGTTTTCATGCAACATATCAAAACAACATGTTGATGTGAACTGATGCAGGCCTCAGGCAGTTCACTTACATTTCACTGTGACTGGCTGCTGAGCATTGTGAACGCGATGTTAACGTGGGACTTTTTCAATACTTAAAGCTTCAATTCTGCCACATATTTACAAAACAATTCATGTGATACATTGGTTTAAATTGAGAGATGTTTTTTAAAGTAGTCATTTACACTTGCCCAACTAAGTGGGATAAACAGTAATTTGGATTTTACTTTATTCAAGAAAAACTTCTTTTATATTTTTACTTTATTAAATATTTTACAGACTAGTCCCTCCCTTCTGTTTCAGCAAAGTTCTGTTCAACTTGCGCAAACCGACCATCATCTTTGTAGTCTGTTCGAGAGCTATTTTTTTGCGCAGAAGAAAGGTATCCTTTCTTCATTGCTGGTTTTTGCCTTTTGTTTGGTGTTAGAAAATCCTCAAGTTCGTTTCTTTTTTCGCGAAAAAAAAAAAATCAACAATAAATTCTCAATTTCAGAGTGTAGTCAAAAGTATTCAGACCTCAGCACAAAAGATCTAAATTGGAATTGGTTTGGAACAATAAAAAAATCAAGCTGCTCAGCCAGACTGGTGACGAAGGCCGCTGGCCAGAAAGGTAACAAACCAATGATCACCATGAGTGAACCCAAGTCCATCCATCCGTTTTCTTTACCCACTTATTCCAAACAGATTTGCAGGGGGGCTGGAGCTTTTCCCAGTCGTCATTGGGCAAGAAGCAGGGTTCATCCCGGACAGGTCAACAGTCCGTCACAGGGCCACACAGAGACGAATGGGACTAACAACTGTGCATGCTCACGCTCACACCAAAGGCCAATTTAGAGTCACCAATTAACCTAACATGCATGTTTTTGGATGGTGGGAGGAAACCCAGAGAGAAACTCAATACAGAAAGGTCAGTGAATACCTGAATAACTATGAAACCATAAGAAACACAAACCCTATATTTGATGGAACCATCTGTCTGGAATTCACAACACTGTCTATAGCTGAAAGAGGGAAATCTATCCATCTACCAGATAACACCCCCAAAGTCAAACATGGTGGTCACGTCATAATACTGCGGGGGAACCTCGCAGGGACTGGGATGTAGGACGGGCAAGAAAAAGGAACAAAATAAAATAATACAGAATCCTGAAGCTAGCAGCCGAGAAAACAAAATTTGCTTCAGGATTATGCTTTTCAAGGCCTTGTCCAAATCTAAACTTGAAACAAAAAAGGTCATTTTTGGAGACACTCAAAAATGGCTGTGTACACCATGCACTGAGTCAGTAGGATTATTCCAATGATTTCCTGCTACTGATGCCAATGTCGCTTCAACAAGTAGCACACGATGGTGCAGAGTACTCCTGTGAATTGGACATTTCAGTGTTGTAATTTTAATAGAAGACTTCAATAAAAAAAAAAAGAATCAATCATAAGATGAGTCTGATGCATATGAAAAAAGCATCTGGCACTTTTTTCCCCTTGTGTGTGGACTGGGTGTGGTTCCAGGATAAAGAACGATGATGGGCAACCTGGCTAGTACAAGACTACTTAATGTTTCAGATGGACTGTGGCATTGTGCTGCTGTGAGGAGGCTTTCAGTGACTCGCTCAGCTTCCCAAGCTGCTCAATTATGGATAAACTATAGTGGAATACTAGCAGTTCGCTAGTTGGTCAAGAAAAGGCTGTCTCGAAAAGCTACTAGTCTAGACAGTCTTCCAAAGGCCACACTTCCTTAACTCAACTAATAATCTATGCAATTCCAGGGCAAAGCAGTCCCTGTTATGAAGTCATTTACTAAATGATTTAAGGCACTACTGGTTTCAGCTTGAAGTGAGCAACTCCCATATGTTGGGGTTGACATCTGACCAATTAAAATATCTTTCTTAAGACACCAAATGAAGTAAGATTCGCAATGTTAAGCTAATCATAAGGTCATAACATAACAGCCGCTAATTACATCCATGTTGGCTTAGTCACCAAACACCTGATTCAGTCCAAAAAATGTCCCCCTCTTCTCATTCCCATCTCATTCACTTCTCTCCCCAGGGTACAGAAGGGGGGAGGAGACAGATTAAGGGTTTGGAAGCCTGGCCAGAGTGGGACAGGGGGACCGCTCCCACCACAGCTGACATCTGCTAGTTAGCCACTCTACCTTTTTTGACTAGGCCAAAGCCGCTGTGTGCTGAGCATATAGGCCTGGAGCCAGAGCGTGTTGTGACAACACAGCTGTTCTTCAAGTTAAGCACTGACCTATATCTTTGAATAAAGAGATAACAAAGTGTCAATACTCTTGTGAATGAGCACTCCAAGAGTGGTTAAAGTGTGGCCAGGTTAGTTCAGAAGAAAGTCTCAGATGGCCATTGTGGTGAGTGCGCCTCTATGCTGGACTATCTGGGGGGGAGGCTGTGGTTCGCCATATGCCTCAGCAGATGACTCCACCTTCACACTGAGAGGCCAGACTGGACACAGACACATGCACGCGGACTAACAACCAACGCCCCCCCCCCCACCCCCAACCCCCACTCCATCCACAAAAACAACCAGAGACACAACTGCAAGTAGCAATATTTCAAATAGTATAAAAGGCCACATTCAGTCCCACACTTTGAGCAAGAATAAGTAGATGGGGGATATGCAAGCAAACAGATTTTCATGTTTTTTAATGATGCGCACAATCAGGTGGGATGTGTGAGGGTGGACGAAGACGATACTTGGAGGACCTCAATCATACCAGGGTGGCATTGAAAGACTGGGTCATAAGGGGGGGGGGCAGAACAAAAGACGTATGCCTACTCTCCACTAACAAAACAAGGCAAATCAAGAGTCCATGGCCCAAACATCTACCCATGAATAAAAGATTCTGCCTCCTAATTTTTAAATCCATATTACTGATATTGATTATTGGGGGTACATTTGTCTGGGGGAGTGATGTTTTGGACACTATTCATTAGTTTCACACTTGCAAAAAAGTATGTGTGAACTCGCGACATGAGTCAAACAGTATCTTACCTGAATGAGATGAGAAGGTACAGTAACTACTGCAACAGACAGAGATGATCTCAGCAAGGCACGTAACCCATAGAGAAAGGTAGTCAGGGCGTGTCTGTGTTTGGGGTTGTCATGGCAACACAGATCATCACCCCAAAGAGCTGAGCCAAGAGAGTGAAGCCCAACACGCAGGATGTTGCGCGACTTTGACTAGAAGAGGTTAAAAAAAAAGAAAAAAAAGAAAGGGGTCAGAATAGTGTAATATGATCAAAAATGAAAGAAAATGTGTGACAATTTACTGAAGTTCACGTACAGAGCAGAGCAATGCAACATTTACCCATATAGAACGCACAACTCTGAACACAGTTCAATAACTGCTTTAGAATAGTTTCAGAAAGTCTCCTGTCTTGGGTTATACTGCCAAACTCAGGGGAGCGCCCGAGTGGACAGTCTGCTCACTAGCACAGACGATAGGAACACGGTGCCCAAACGTGACTGGACACAAGTGCCCAATCACAGAAGCCATCTGACACACGCACAATGGACCTGTCAGACAGGCTTCCAATATGGCCGCCACCCAGAAACCCCAGCACATTCTTGGCACAACAGTGATGCTCTGCAGCCAAGGGGGCCTGGGTAAGGGTGGAGTGGTCTTGCCTTGAAACCCCCCTACCCCACCACAAGGGATCAACTGTAACCTACTTTCTTGAGGACAGAGAAAAACTGGCCAAACAGTGGTGGGATATATATCACTGACCCTCAGAGAAAGGAAGGGCCTGTCTAAGCTGTGAGAGGTTTTTAGCCTTTAGTTCAATTGCCTTTCAGCTGGAGTTTCTTTAGGATGGCTACTGATTGCTGAGGTGAGAGCCAAGAGTGATTAACAAAGCCCTGGCTTGAAATCTGCTCACTTTTCTCCGTCTCCAGCCTTTACTTTTTTCTTTCTTTAAACCTCCCCCTCTATTACCACAGCCCTCCCAAAATCTCCACCCCACCCCCCGCTGCTTCCGCTCCCAACAGTATGACCTAAGCTTCGTCTGAATCTGGATGAGAATCACAGGGATCTAAAAAAAATAAACGCCATTGTCCGAAGGTGGTTTTCAGTGCTCGCACATAACTTCCCAAAGTACTGGTCTCTTTGTGCGTCTTACTATAAAGGATGAAAAATATGTTCGTTTTAGTGACATATCATCTTTCTGTATGCATGCTGTCTAGTCACAATTCTGGTTGCTTTGTTTGGAAGGCTTTTCCTACTAAAGGCTTTGAGAGCAATAGAATTAGAAATCTATTTCTGTGTCTGAAGCCCAGCAAGGGGCAACTGTGGTAACAAGACTGTTGCCGTGGCAACATCAGGATAGGAGGCCAAACTTATCTCCTATAGTTTAGCCTATAGAAAAATCAGGGAACTGAGCCAGCAGGGCCCAGCCAAGGACCTGAGGCCTGCCATATAGACTACAAGTCTGGAACCACAACCTAATCAAACAGTGTTGGTGAAGACCCCTGCTGCCACCACTTCCCCACTCATCTGAGAGACAAAAAAAAATATACATACAATGGGAGACTCGTCTTAGTTCCAGTGTAAAACGCAGTTTACATTTAATCTGTGTAATCCCTTTACATTTCCTTCCCAGCATAATGAAAAGTTCCCGACTACAGGCTAACAAATCCCTGCGAACACTCTTTTATCATTTTCGTTCCAATGCCCATGTCACTCTGCTGGTCCACATTCCTGGACTGTGCCAACAGTATGTCATGCAGTCACACCGCTTTAATGATGTCAGCAGTTAAGCTGGTGTTTGAGTGACAGTGCTTCAGGAAGGAAAGTGGGGGGTGGACGAGCTAAGTCCTGTGGTGTGCGACAGGCGGAGAGGTGGCTCCAGGTGATGAACAGACGGGTCACAAAAATTGGGTGGATAAGTGCACGAACAAAATCATACATTTAGCAGTTTTCATGCTCTTGTAATGAAAAATATTGAAATCATATCCATTGTTGTGTATACTGTGTTCGCAGAAAAATTCACGGCCCAGGGGAGAACGAGAATAGACATGCATGGATTTTTCAGAACATTCTTATCTAGAAAAATGTTTATCTCAAGATATAAAAAGAAAGTATGCAGTCAGGACACACAGGAGAGCACAAAAGATGGGGACAAACACTCAAGAACGCAAAGGAATAATCTTCTATCGCATGTTGTATATAACACCTTCAATACACAATAATTTTACAGGACTTTCTGCCTTAAGTGAGATTAAAGGGAAAACATCTGAACACCTGGTAAATAGCAGCAGCTAGTCAAAAATGTTTAATGAATAATGTATCTTTATTCGCAAGGCAGCATGTGAATGTAAATTAAAATGCACGTCTTTTGTGTGCATCCTGAGTATGTGTGTGTGTGTGTGTGTTTCACTAATGGTAGCAGGTGTCTGTAGTAATTGATGCTCTTTGACAAAACTACAATAAATAAAATCAACAAATCAAAAGACAGATCCACAAACACAAAAACAAAGGAAACTAGGGGGAATTTTGTAGAATTTTTGTATCGTCAAAACTGTCAAATTTAAACAAATTTAATTGACAGATAATTTTTAAAATACCAATATAGACATAAAGCAACACTTTGGAAATTTCACTTGAACTTTGCTGGATGTGTGGATTAAGAGGCCTTTGTGTAGTTTTTCATGTTTTTTTTTCTCGTTCAAATAAGTTTCCACTGAAAAACACGTTGTTTGTTTAAATGACTGGAAATGTGTCTTTCAAAAAGGTTGATGTAAATAGAACTCATATAAGACTGCATTTAATTTAAACACAAAGAAAGCATTGGATTGATTCTGTTCTTACCATAGGGACAGCAAGGTCAAAGCCCTCCCTGTGTATGACCTCCTGTAGGGACTTCAGCATTGCAGAATAGGACTCAAGCATGGGACTGGAGTGAACACAGGACAGATTGGACACGATGAGCCAGGTAGAGAACTTAAAATTGTTCCCTAAAATGTGTAAATCATCACTGAGACCATTTGGAACAAACTGGGCCAAGCTTATCACGGCAGTAGCCTAATATTCTCTGACTGCAGCATGTTCCTCCTGACTGTGCTTTTCTGGAGCCACCGAAGCAGACAGATGATCCATATCAAGAGATCCAATTAATTTATTTGGTTGATTAAATTACAACATGACTGGTTCTCTGTCAGCTCCCCGAGGATCTGATTGTGCCGAGACAGACAGACAGATGAGACGGGCTCAAACATACACACACAGAACAAAAGATGAGATGGAGGATTAATGGGCTGATATCTAAAATTAACAGAGAACAGCATTTTGGTGTTTAATCAGGGGTAAGATGTGCTTTACTGACAAGAAGCATAAAGTACCATCAGCCAAACATTTAGTGACAGTCAGGGGATGGAGCCCTTCCTGAGTTTATACGATGGCCAATAGAAATGTTAAACCCATCGTTTTACACAGAACCCTCCATTTAAGAACGCCCCGCCATTGTAATGACCACTCTGTAGGGACTCACAGTGGGCTGCTCTGTCACTTGTCAATTCAACCTGCGGGCTACTAAGGCTGATACACATAGGTTGGTCACACGCCAATAGTCCTGCATAAAGAACAGAAATACACACTTGTGTTGATTACACTTGGCCAAGTATATCCATGTACTCCATTTCAGTTATTCAGCCCAACAATGGTGCCTCCTGACCCTGCTGTGGCTAATGATAGAGCTGGATTGGTGAAAGAGGGACACCTACCCTCTATGGCCTCTCTGCCCATGCACCAGCTCTGAGGTAGGGGGCTGGGATGGTGTGACATGCGGTTGAGCGGGAGGCTGCCTCTGGTTGGCAGCTATTGTGTGAGACAGCATTGTATTTTATCTACCCCTACTGAGCAACACTCATTCAGGTACCAAAGAGGTCTAGGTGCTTAGCTACAGGGGCTAGTGCGTCAGCTAATTAGGATCATGCACAAAGAAGCTTCTTTATCTCTGCGTTCCTCTTTGAGAGAGGAAAGAAAGGAGGAGAGAAGGGGATGCTTGATCTTAAACAACAGGATCGGTATCACCTAGAGAGCAATTTGTGCCAATTATGCCTTCAAGTGAAACGGAGCAATTTAACAGCTAGGGTATCAACATGGGGCTGTGGACACGTGCAAGGGGAGTAGCCTGCTTTAGGAGTTTGTGTGGTACATGCGCAAGTGTAATATGCCCAGTGTGTGTGTCTGTGCGTGTATTTGTGTCAGGGGCTTGGGCGGACCTCGGGCACAATGCTGCGGTGCAGGTGTAGTTTCCAGCTGTTAGAATGTCTGTAAGATCCATATCCCATGCACACGCTACCACGCCAGCATTGTGCCACTCTCCTTAACTGCTACGCAACACAAACCGAGTTTTCATTTTGTGTTACCCATTTGGCATCATTTAGCTCTGAGATCACATCTGACATAATAGACAGTGCTCAGCACTTTGACGCAAACTACAAACCAAATACCAGCAACATTTACTATGTTTATACGGGTGCTCCGTTAAGCAGTTTCTGTTTGCTGATATAAAGAAGGAGGGATTCTCTAAAGCCTCCTCCACATCCTCTGTGCTCCAGATTGCTGTATTTACCCAGAGTGTGTGAGTGTGCCCTTGTGTGTTCAGCAGCACTCTGAGTAAAGAGCCTGCATGACCTCTGAACCCTAAGTACACTCAACGCAGGAAAAATCAAACAGACGCTGAGCAAACAAGACCCTTATTTGAATAGACATACGCAACCTTTCCAAGAGACTGAATGACTTGGCTGATGGTTAGCAACTTGAAACAGCAGATTAAGCAGGCAGATTTGAACTGATCTGTATCATTTATCTAAAGTGAGATTAACACAGTTGTTTGGCATTTAATACACAAAAGTTTTTGTGAAACTTACCAAAATGAACTAAAGTAAAGCTTTAATAAAGTTTCAAAAGAAAAAGTGAACTGAACTCTAACACTAAAGTCTTACTGTATTTTGAGAGCAACTACATATAAAATATTTATTCTGTTAGAGCTAATATAAGTAATTGAAGAGCCAGGCAATTAAAAGAAACGTGAATGACAGAGGAGTTTCAACAACATTTTAACAGTATTTGGTCATTATTAAACTAAATTCACATTAAATTGTCTTCAATTGCAGTGTTTTATGGTTTATTTCTATCTCGTCTAATTCAGTTAATCAGTTTTTTAAAAACTTTTTTATTTTTGATATCTAGAACTCCTCATTATTCATGAGCATTATTCAAAGCAACTGTGTTTGAAAGCTATATAATTGCTTTAATTTGATGAGTTATTTGAAATAAAGACATCACTCAGACCCCGGGCTGCACATGTTGTCATGTTGTCATTTCTGTACAAGTGTTCTGTGAACAATGCCACGTTTACTTGCATGTGTTCTGGTTTTGTGTTCTGTTGGGTGGATGATGTCATGTTTGTGTACCTGTGTGCACTGGACGGTGTCTCATTGGTTTCTGTGCATTCTGTGGATGATGTCTTGCTGTTTTACCTGTGTGTGTTTGATGAATGGGCGTGCTGTTCTGAAGGGTGGAAGCGGTGGCACTTGGCTCCTTGGCGAATTTCTGGATCCATGGTTTTTGAGACGTCATAGTAGTGCCCAAACCGGGACGAGGATGCCAAAGCGCTCTGGAGGGTCAGGGCATAAAAGGAATACTCGGTTAAAGAGATACGGATAAACGTCATTCTAAAATGTACCCGACATCGCAACATGCTTTTTAATCTTTAAATAAATACTGTGAATGTATTATTACAAATGAAGCAACACTTGCATGTGCCTTTCTAACAAGTCAAAGGAATGGGTTTGGTAACACTATGGCAATGCAATTGCATTGTTTAAGGGTCATTCATCAACATTCTTACAGAACAGAAGTTAAATAACCACTAGGACTATGCTCTTAATCATTTCTTCACATAAATGTCCACTTCTGGCTGTGAAAGCGAACGTGTCAGGGAAGCAGGGGAAGACGGATGTTTTCCTGCAGCTGAAAGAGAGAGTTTTAGCTTTTCTCTCTTGGTGAAACCAGGGATTCCATTGTTAGAGGGGCCCTTAATCTACTCCTAATCTGGATTAGGGCCCCCGGTGTGTCCCTCTCCCGGCAGAACGAGGGGGTCACCAGGGCATGGGGGTCAGGGGCTCATCTTCTCTTTGTGAGCTAGGCAACCCGCTTAGCGTTCCATCCCCGCCCTGACGGCCTCACCTTTGATCTGATGTCTTCATCGCAAGAACGACACAGTGGGCTATGGTAGCAGAGGTGTGTGTAAGGGGAAAGTAAGCGTTGACTCTCAGGGTGAATTTGGGATGCAAATCCTCTGGTGGGGCTTACTAGTAGTTTGTAAAGACGATTTTACAGGGGAAGGGGGAGAGGTGAGGAAAGTACATAGATATAAAGAAGTTTCCAGGGAGAGAGAAAGAGGGAGAGGATCCCCAGGGACACACTGTGTGCTGTTAATCCACATAGCGATATGGATTATAGACCAACGGGGGTAGACTGCAGAGAAATAGAAGGGGAGGGTCACCGCTCCTCAAAGCGGAAGAAAGAGTGTAGAGTTGCCGACCCTAGCAGGGGGAAAGGCAGGGATTTGGGAGAAGACAGAGGCGCAGGTCTGGGTCATAGGGTTGAGCGAGCAGACATGTCAATGCACAGGCTGCAGAGTATTCTTTTTTCCCAGGCTAAGCAGGGGTGCAAGTGTGTGTGTATGTGTGTATTTGGGTTGGGGAGCAGTGAAAAGCCTACCTATTGCCAGCTAAGTGTGAGTAATCTGGTCCAGCTCTGAAAAGAGAGACTGAGGCCTCATTCAGTCCACAAAGGAGTTTAGAAGCTGATGGATTTAGTGGTCGAGACAATTGTCAAATCACTAAAACCAGAAAGCCAGTACTGTCCATTCTTATTACATCATGAGGAGAGACACATGTTGGGTTTTTTAATGACAGATATCGTTACAAAGGTACTTTGTCTGTAAATAGAAAAAGATTAATTTGTGAAAAACAACAGGCAACATGTTGCATGAAGTAAATTAATCTGATTACCTGTACTTTAGGAAGATTCTGGTAGCGCCAGGCAATCTTCATTGTATCCAAACTGTCCTGAGGGTCACAAGACAGTCTGGGCTGCTCCATAGGTTTGGGAATAGCAACATCATCTAAGATGGGTGAAGGCAGTTCCTGTGAAAAATAAAAAAATAAAGATCAATTTGATTAAGTTAAACATTTTTACTTTAAAAGGAGAAAACAAATCCCTTTCACAGAGATTATGCAAATAAGGCAGCACACCATCCATTTATATTCATTTTAAAATGTTCCTCCAAAATTTCATGAAAAATGATAGGCAATCTATTTGTTTCACTAATGGATAAGCACAGTAACTTAAAACATTCAGACCTAAAACTGTGTTTAAAAACAACATACATTAGATATGTAAAAAGCTTTTATCTTGAGTGACTCACTTTCTATTTATGTTTACACATTTTTCATCACTCCAGGTCATAATGGTCATAAAGTCACCAAATATTTCTCCCTCTGCTGTCAGCTGACATCTTGGTGTTCACTATTGTAATGCATAAAATCCAACTTTAGCATCTAAGGATTACCATATCGCAAACGTAACTGTGAAAACACTAAATGATGTGATATATCCCCACTGGGACTCCCCCTCTCTTATGAAGTCTTTGATATGCAAACATAGGGTGAGGCTATGACCCCTCCCACTATCAATCAGTGGGAGAGAGGCCCTCCTTCTGTATGCTGGGTGGCAGGCAGCTTCTGGGGCTATGGTCCTCTTCACAGATTGATACGTCGGGAAACATTTCAACAATGCCACAACCATGCCACCCTCGACCTCTCAGATACCCCTGTTGACCCTGACACATGTTAAGGAAAGCTGTGTGCATGCATCATACAGTTGGAGCGTCTTCGTATTATGAAAAAATGCTCTAAAGTTAGTTTCCTGCCTTTTATAACTACATAATGAAAGAATCAAATAATTTTTTTCTGATCGTGCTAAAAGAAGATGTGGTGGAACTGTAATTGCATCTTTGTGACCGACTTGTTACAAAAGATCTTACTTTATTAAACCTTTACTAAACTCAGTTTTTCCTCATATTTTTTCCTCATTCGTAACAGTCCACGGGACCTCCTCACATACCTGTAAGATGTCATCAGGGTTATCTTGAGCCGCTGCCACGAAAAGTTCATGTCGACACACCACTCCTTCTGCCAGAAAGTACTTCAAAATCATGCGAGAGTAGCTATCATACCGGTCCTCCTCTGACAGACGGAGAGAGAGAGAAAGAGAGAGAGAGGGGAAAATTCAATCTTAAGCATATATTTCTGTGGTAAAACTGTTTTAGAAAAATAGTTTGAGACAAATCAGTTGTCTCTGTCCTAATTCAAAGACCTCTCCACACATCCAGCACCTCGTGGCCACATCACAGGTGCTGACTGTAATTGATGTAAGGGCCACCTTCTGGATGGCCTTTGTGGGCAGCCCAGCACAAAAGCACAAGTGTTGTTTTGTGATCTGCCTACCAAAGTGGACAGATGACATCTTCAGCCTAGTTGTTGGACTATTAGCAGCATTCCTGTCTGGTTTCGCTCATCATATGCCCGACCGGCAACCGAAGTATGAGGTAGACACCTGCCTTAAGCATTCACCTGAGCCCTCTCACGGAACAGAGAAGCACCTGCGTGGTCAGGACAACTGATAACCTGAGAGGGATCAAGATAGAAGCTGTGTTCAAAATGCTTTCTGACTTGAATCTTCCTGCTTAGTCTCTACAGTGTGACGGCAGTGGCCTGCAAGTGAGTTTGTTTCACAGCGTCAAACCCAACTTTGGGGAATGACATTAGCATCATCATGAAGAATGTCTCTGGAATTAGATGGACTGGCAATTGTTTCTTAACTCCACACATACTTTTCCAAATAGTCTTTCTATTTGCACACAAAGCAGCCACCCAGCCATCACCCACCCCAAACTAACAACACAAAAAGAGAGAAACAGAGAACAGGAAAAGCTTGCATCATCACCATGAAAGTCGGCCGAGCAGGCCACATAACTCTGCCCAGCAAGCTACTGCTGCTTCCTGTCACCGTCACCATTGTGTAAAGATTTCATAGGCCTTTCTTCACAGTGACAAACAGTGGGCACATGGACAAAAGGCGGCAGTGGCAGTTAAGGTAATGGGCACACAGCTGACAGCTTGGGAATGACATCTTGACGTGTCATCCTCGAACATCCAGAGAATTCCTCCCTCCTCCCACCTTCCTGGTCTATGTCCTCACCTACGGACTTCGGGTAGCCCAGGAAATTCCATGGCTCTTCAATTTGTTGTCGGTAGGGCTCCCTGTTCTCTTATTGATGGGTTTCTAGGTCAGCAAGCCTTTGTGGCTTTCAGCAGGCCCCACAAAGACTCCCAGATGGGCCCTCTCAAGATGGGGCCTATTGTAGTTGTGTTTCTATGGGAGCCTTACAAATGGAACCTCCAGGAGTCATTAGGCTGTTGAGGCAGGGGGTATGAGGAGGGGGCAGGAGATGGTGGGATATAGGCGCAACAGGGGGTGGGGGACGGTCATATCTTTAAGGCAGATCAGTCACTCTGGACAGTCATGGGATGTTTTTTTTTTTTTTTGCTCATTCTGACTAAGATTTGATAAAGGGAGGGGCAAGGGGTACCTCTTCATTTGCCTTCAAACAAGGGAGTAGGAGTGCAAGAGTCCTGAATCATATCTGCTAAAGCTGCAGGGGGAGGAGACAAAATATCTAGGTCAGAATGTTTCCACTTGCAAGTGTTTGGTCTGTAAAGTACTAGCATCTCTACACAGAAGCTCAGCTGCACTTAGTAAATGTGGAGGGTAAAGAAGTGAAAACAGACATTTAATAAGATTGAAAAAACCATACAAAATCTGAAAATAGAGCCGGCAGGAAATGAGCCGTCCCAAACTTTATCTTCCAGGCTTGACTGCCTGTTTTCTGTTAATTCCTGATTCCTGTTTAAAATGTTGCAGCATATAACGGGAGCTGCCATTTCTTAATAACTGTCAAATACTTTTTGGGGCTTCAAGTGTCCAGTACAACTATTCCATCCATCCATTATCGTAAGCGCTTATTCCCCTAATGGGGTCGCAGGGAGAACTGGAGCCAATCCCAGTGGTAGTGCAACTATGAAGAATCACACAAATAAAATAGATGCATAAGTGTCACAGAGTGACATCACTAACACTCTTTCTGTTTCCCTTCTTTTTAATCTAAAGTCCTTTCATTGTTCTAAAAATTGTGACCGAGTCATCTGGCTTGCAGCATCCCCCTATGATTGTGTTTGGTTTATGATTAATATTCTTAACATGTACACTGAAATGATTTTGTACTTGTAAAGATATAAAATATTAACTTGTCAAACAAAACAAATTAAACGTAATGCTTTTAATGCGTCTCCATTTGGGAACATTAACCTAAAGGAATTAAGCCATAAATGGTCAACATAATAACAGCTGGGAAGCTTTGTTCCCCCACTTGCAAAAACCTAGGAGATGAGAAATTTTCAGACAGCAGCCATACTGGACTGATCCCCGTCTGGATGACAAATCAGGACGGACAGCCCAAGACACTTTAAAGGCAGACGATGACCAGTCTGATAATTTTATGTCTGTGTCTCACAAACAGGCCATCATGGCTAAAGGGGCAGACTGTAGGAGATGACTGCCTCAAACAAACACAAACAAACACACACACACCAAACTCCTCATGTACCACCCACCCACACACACACACACACACACACACACACACACACACACACACACAC